GTTGTAATTCTGCTGCTGCTGCTCTTGTTCTCCGGGATGATCCCCAAAGGAACTTCTCGCCGATATCGCGGGCAAAAATTCCCCCTCCCCATATCGAAAAGGTACGTCGCAGAAAATTTGCAATGCTGATTTGCGACCCCAAATGATCTCTGTCTTGCAAGAAGGCAATTCCACAGGCTCCGCCGCATTATTCAGGCGGTTTGTAATGCTGTTTGACCGACAGCGCAGACGTTTTTCATGCTAAGTGCCTAAGCCAAAGCCTCTCTATTCAGGATTGATGCGGGCCCGCAGTCCTCTTCAGCAAGACAATTCTGATTTGTGTACTCAAATCCAGCATCAGAAGTTTCGTTTTCGATATGGGGAGGGGGGATTTTTCCTTTTGATAGCCGAAGATCCTGCCGTTGCACCATGAGGACCAACACCGGTAGTTTTCTTCTCTGCAATCTCTTCATCAGCTGTAGCTCTTTGGTAGGCACAGAGCGTCGGCACACCAGCTGGTGCACTCGGACCTGATGAAGTAGGTCGTGAATGTCGCTGTGGTCCGCTGTACACTTACTCAGGCACACGGCATCAACAACATGCCAGAGCAAGTAATTATGCAGGCCCACATCCACGAAATAGAAATAGTTCATACAGTGTGCCACTTCTACCGGCATTGTTTCAATAACCCCATCTAGAACTAAGTACCCTCCGTGGCCGCCCCACTAGCGCTATTTCCAGGACACAAAACTGGCTGCGGGTTTAGCACTACAGGATTTGGAGGCGCACCAAAACCAGGACCGGCGCCGCAAGCATGGTGAGCCTGTGATGCTACTGGCCCTCCGGTAATTGTGTTGCCATGATGCGCCGGCCCAACCACGTTCAAGTTCAGATCCACACAACCGCTGTGGTTGTTGATGTGCACACCGCTGTTGTGGCTCACCGGGGTGGTATCGGGCGTGGGAAAGAAATTGTTCTGGTTGATAGTTTCTCCAAAGTTCAGCACAAACTGCGGGTGTACCGCCCCACCTGCTTCAGGGTTGGCACCTTGCGGAGGTTCTCGGGCGATGTTGCTCCTACTTATTTCCGAGGAATTCATCGGAGTCCCATTCGTAGCAATGCCGTGGCTCACAGGATTGCTTGTCCCGTTTAATATCGGTGGGCTGAACAGATTCAAGTTCAGGTTGGAGGGTGCGACCGCTGCTGTTGCTGGCGGCCCAGTATTGATTGTCCCGGTTGCAGCCAAGTGTCCCGCTCCGGCCCCTGCTTGTAATTGATGATCCCCGATTTTTACACTAGATCCGCCGCTAGTACAACGACCCATCGGTTGTTGTAAAAATGGTCCCGCCAGAGGCTCCTGCTGCTGCTCCATCAGTAGGTTCACGTTGGTGAAAACATTAGAAGAAAAGGAACCACGACTCGCCGGAGGTTGTACTATATTACCTGCAGAAAAATTAGTCCCCTGGTTCATCGTTGTTCCCTGCTGCTGCTGCGGGTGGAAGGAGCTTTGGCAACTCACCATTGTGAAGCCACTGTCGTAGCTGCAGTATCAAAAGGAAAAATCCCCCCTCCCCATATCAAAACGAAGTTTCTGATGCTGGATTTGCGTACTCAAATCAGATCTGTCTTGCTGGCGAGGACTGCAGGCTCCTGCCCTGC